ATATATATTCATGCAATAATACATGGCAGGGCCAATGCTTTTATTCGACCGAATCAAAACGCTGGAAGTTGAAGTAACAAAAAAAACTTGTTCGTGCAAGCTCTCAAAAGTTATATATATTGAATTTAAACTTTTTTATATGCGCGATGGGCAAGAAATAATTTCTTGTAAATTTTTACAATACTCAAAAATATATTTTAAGTTTGTTACATCATAAACTGAGGATATTTCACAATTGTATTCCATTGCGACGATTACTCGTTTGGGGATGGATAGAATAGTCTTTTTTTTTCTTCACATAAAATATAAAAAGTAAATTTTTTAATGCTAGATTTTTTTTTATTTAATTGCTTTAGATTTTTTAATGCTAGATTATATGTATTTATTCTCCATTCTCTCCTTTTCCCCAACGGAATTGTCACAAAATATCTTTGGTTTGATTTGATATATATTTATGATATGTACATAACACAGCGGGTTTCAAAAATAATTGCTTTAATGATAAAGATAAGGCAGCTCCAAAACGGCCTCAATATAACCCTGCTCTCAAGCTACGACATATCTAATCTTAATATTTATTGGCACAATAATAAAAAATTTTTATAAAGAGAAATCCAACGCGTGTGATACCTTCGATTCGGAACCCCCTAGAGATACGTCTTTGCATTAACCTAACCTTCGCGACATCATGGCGTCTGATTGCAGTGCATAATCTGCAGCACGAACAACGGTATTGTCGGTGTTGTTCATCGCGCCTAATCGAGTTATCACGTTGTACATACATCTCGCTTTACGTGATCACAAAGAGACACGAAAGTGCTCAATTTTTTTTATCGGGATAACCGATCACCGCTCTTTCGTATCAATTGAATTTCATCCGCGAACGGAAAACCCGAAGAGCCCACGAGAGATAACCTAGTTACCCATAATCGTTCCTCATTGCAATTTCACGGTAGTAGTCGCAACTTTTTTGATACAACAATACGACCCGATATAGCGGTGCGGTTCGAACATACCGCTTGTGATAATTTTGGCAAATTTTCAGCCAAACAATTCGGCTCGTTCGCGATCTGATTGGTAAACGCGTCTGTGTTGTGTGGTTCACACGCGTGTGCGCGCGTGTGTGAGACTCGTGTGCGTATTCCGTGCTGTGGAATGCGCCAGAGTGGCGGTCAACGAGCGACGTCGTGAAACCCTGAAACCGGCGGAGATCGTTCTCGCTGCGGCAAGTGCAAGGCAGTCGATACAGTCGATACAGTCGATACTATGCGCCACGACGAATCGAGACACATAAATGCGCCCGGAATTGGAGCGCGAAGCAGCACGTGAAGTTTCAAGGGCGGTAAGTTGACACCGTTCCGCTTCTCTTTCTCCCTCTCCCTTTTCCTCTCCCACACTCTCCACTAACGCTAGGCAGAATTGGGTTGTCGCTACGTAAAACTTCGCCCGTTATTTCAGTGAAATTTGAAACTGTTGTAGCTTTGTTTAAACTAAATTTTATCGATCGAAATAAGTGCCGGGAAATGCGATACACTTTTCCCAAAGTAAAGAACGCTGTATAAAACTATGGAACAACCTAATTTCGCGTAACGTCACATTGATGACTTTAAAGTTTTCACAAGTTGGATGTGAAGTACCATTTCATAATTAATTACGAGAGGATTGTAATTAATTATTAATATCGTTGATATACCGTTTCCAGCGAGAGTGATTTTGTCATATAATAAATTATTTTTCTTGTTGATTAACTGTAAGATAGAGAGATCCGAGACCTCAATGTTTTACAACCAATTAACATGTTTGAAAAATTTGTATGACAAAATAGAGTCCATTTTTAAAACTACCATTTACGTAAATCTAATGGACTTGATGTTAGCTCATATCACAGCTTCCATAGTTACATAAGCTTAGTTGTAAGTGATTGCAAAAATTGATCAATCACAGTTGAATATGAAAATAATATTGAACTGTGGTTGATCGATTCTAAGCCCATTCTACAATTGCATAAGTATTATGGTTGTATTGTAGTTTGTAAGAATTAACTAATCACAGTCAAATACGAGGAAAATATTCGACTGTCATTAATTAATTCTTATGGATCTTCTACAATAAGTCATTAATAATAAATCAGGCAGTCGATTGAAGTATCTTGAAATGAGATGAAAATTACAAAAGTAAGCAAATTCATTAGTTATTGACCAATTAAATTATGAATATTCTAGAAATTGACCAATCATAGTCGATTATTCTTCTTACATTAGACTATAATTGATCAATTTTTAGCTTCTAGTAGTCGATTATGTACCTCAAAATGAGGTTAAAATGATAAAAGTGAGCAAATTCACTAGAATATTCATAATTTAATTGATCATTTTCTAGTGAATTTGTTCACTTTTGTAATTTTCGAGATCACACAATCGACTCCCTGATTTATTACTAATAGCTTATTGTAGAAGACCCATAAGAATTACAATCACTTACACCTATGTTTACGCAAGAATGGGCTTCACACACTTGCTGAAAAGTATCCGTAATCTTGCGAAGAACTAGGTTTCGTAAGATCATCGATTCTCTCGCGCTTAGAGAAATCAATTCGCGATCGTCGTCATGAAGGATTTACATATCTATTTTTAAATCGTATTACATAAATTGCACGTCTCGAACGTGAGATTTACAACGATCGTGGGATCGCGTCGCATAAAAATCACGCCCGCAATAAAAGTCCATCGTTCGTTGACGACCCTCAAATGTTCGTTTGTTTACTTTGGTCCATCCATAGTCGGCGTGGCGATTATCGCGGCCGTTCTAGTTCCGGATTTTATATATTGTATCTCGCGCGTGACGACTGCAAACACAACGTCATCCCGAGCTGGAAACTTCAAACAGCGCTGTGAAATGCAGCGCGAAAGTAGAATCCAATTTCCTTTCGTATAGACAGGCAGCCGGCAGAGTTTTGTCGTCGACGAGGCGAAACCGTCGCTCGTGGCAACCGAGCGTGCCAATTGCCATTATGACGTGACTCCGCCGCGCTCGTCATTTGCATTTTCCAATCACGCGGTATTTCGCTAGCCTGCACGTCGTCGCGTCGCGTCGCGTCGCGTCGCGTCGTCCGGAGGATAAAGGCGAGCTCACAATAGCGGAAGACGTCGCAATCGGATCTCCTCTGCAAAGGTAATTCGATATAAAAGCTTACTCGACGCCAGGAATGCCTGAATACGTGAAGTTACGCAAGCTTAAGCCGTGTACATCGTGTTTGGATTTGTGTATCGTGACTCATTGTCAGAGCGTCTGACAGTTCAATATTTGTAAAGAAAAACGTGGTGTCGAAGAAAAAATTTCATTCATAATGTTACTCTCAGTATTCGATGATTTTTCGATCGTCTGTATTAAGTACACGCGATGAGTCGTTTGTGTTTCAAGTTACTTTCATTACTTTTACAAAAATTAAGTGATTCTTGCATATGTCTTTAATATCTGTAGAAATTGCAGTAAACCTTTCTTCTTTCTTTCACCAAATTTCAAGCATGTCTATTTCATAAGCTATTTAATAAATTTCGTAATCTATTTCATACATTTGAAATTGATTTAATAAATTTTATTAAATTAATTTCATAATCTATTTAATAAATCGTTTATGTACGTTAACGTAAGCTGTAAAAAACAAGCTTAGGCGATACTACTTAAACAAAATGAAATTACAAAAGTGAGCAAATTCGCTAGATATTGAATAAAATTATAAACTTTCTAGTAAATTCCTCATCTTGTAATTTTCACCTCATTTCGAAATACACAATCGATTTCCCAATGCTGTAATTAAATATTAGACATTGAAAACAAAATATCTTAATTTCAAAGCTCTCGTATTTAAAAAAATTATTTCTCAATAAGAATTTTCAATGAAAATTTCTTTGAAAATACAATATCTTCTTTCTTTGAAAGTATAATCTTATTTTCAAAGACATTTTCATTGATCCAAAGAAATAATTTTGAATACGAGGAAAGAGATATTTCTTTGAAATTAAAATATCTTTTTTTTTTTCCAGTGTTTCTCGTGTTAGAAATGAAATACGCAAACACGAATTATCCAATTGTACGTTGGGGATTAAATTAATGAGTGAAGATGCGATCGGTCATTTCCCGATAAGAATGAGAACTTCTTATTTGCACACATGTGTTATATGCGGGTCTCGACCGTTAAAACGCGATCGTGTAAAACGACCTTGTGGTTTGAAACAAAATACGTGAGGCAAAGACAAGAAACGATCGCATACGCGAAACGACGGTACGTCCCTCCATTCGTAACAAGGAGAGGATCGTGGTATCCTTCATGTTTTCTTCGTTACCGAACGACAACGTAATGTTCGCCATCTCGTCCTGGGAGGCCGCATTGAGGTACATCTTTAGTAGTCGCTCTTTTTCCGGAAACGAAGAAGGTTCGACGACCTCGGATCTTTTTTTGCGGTATTAGTGTAAGGTTTAACGGTGAGGTAAGCTCAGTGATATCTGGATAAAAAAAGACGAGATAAATTGAGAATTTAAATTATGCAAAATATATAAATCTTTCGATCTACGGAAACGTTAGAAGAGTCCGTCGCGAAGCTCTGGTATTACATCAAAGGTAACAAAGACACGCGGTTTATTTTCTGCGTCTAATTAATAATTAATGACCGAGTTCGTCGACACCTCGCGAAAGCTCGACAGCGAGTCATCGTAGCGATTTCACGCGTTTCGCAGTGTGAAATATTTCTATATTTTTTCGAAACGGGATGGCAAAGATTTACGAAGATCGAGTACTCCTGGCGAAGGGATACGTCACGTGCGAGCAATTAGCATTTTATCGCGATCGACGTGCGATTGACGACGTGCTTCCATATTTCACGATCTGTTTAACATTGGCGTCTCGTCTACAGGACGATCGATCTTCGCCCGAGAACTTAAATGGAGATGTGCGATTATCGCGAAAAATGTTCCGTATCCCATGTCTCGTGACTGCCTCTCCCTCCCCCTCCCCTCCCCTCCCCCTCTTCCCCCGTAAAAAGAATATTTTTATGATGTTTTTGTGGACTCGCTAATGGCCGTGGCGTCATCGGAAAGACGCTCGTTCCAGAAGCGACATGAACGTTTTAATGTCGACCCAATTTCGCGAGATTGTCCGGTGTAGTAATAAATTGGCAGACGATTCGAAAATCAGGGGAAACGCGCCAAAATTCTCAACGCCCAATCATAGGCCTATTTTCTGTGGCTGAATTAGTGTCACACTTTTGGAACTTGAAACGAGAAAGGGTACGTGCTTGATATTTGTCGAAAGCGAGAAAGAGAGTTCCAGTGCGATCACAAAAAAATGGATCATATATTCCGTCCATCGAGATGCAGACCGAAGTGCATTTTTATAGTGATATACTCGTCTGGAGAATATTCTTCTTCATCTTCTGAAAATAATTTGGCGAGTCATAAGAACATTCAAGGCTAATACAATGTGCTCTTTGTGCTTCCATTTCTTGCTTTTTACTAGAATTCTGTTGTATATTACATTTACCTTTACCTGGAATATTTATGTATTGTTTATTTAATTTACCTGGAATATTTATGTATTGTTTATTTAATTTACACGAATATTTTTATGTAGACAATGTAAAACAAATTATCGTAAATTGGATAATACAACAAAGAAAGGTACAATTAATTTAAGATGTTAATATATCTGACTTTAATAAAATTTCACTGAATAAAAATATATAAACGAGATAGAAATTTTATGTCATCCGGTACAACAACAAAGAACATAAACTCGGATAATCCAGAGATTGTTTACTACGCTGAAATAAATGATGTTTTACCAAGAGCATTATTTTGATTGAAAATAATCTTGTTGATTTAATAATAGTTTTGAAACAAATAACATTTTATTAAAACAAGAGTATTTATGACAAAATTATTTTCAATTAAAATAATGCTGTTGATGTAACGTTATTTTTTTTCAATATAGATAGCACGTAAAACATAGTTTACATATTTCACATTATGCACGTAAATGTAGATTATTATTTTACACATAAATGCACAACCTTGTTTTTTACCTCTTGTTTTTTTTTTCCTCTTCGCGACCGTTTTATCGTGTTTTTTGTCATGTGTTTCTTATCTCTTCTAAAGTTCGTCAACTTTTATCTCGGGCGACAGAAAACGAAGAAACAGAAAGCAAAGGACAAGAGGTAAAAAGTGATGAAGAGCAAGAAACAGAAAGCAAAGGGCATATGCAGATTAACCTTTATGTGTCAGTCAGTGAGGAAAACTGGAGATGCAAGTAGATAAATTTCTGATTAAACAGTAAATAAAAATAACCTGAGAATAGTTTAAAAACTGACGTATCACACAAGCCGATAGATAAAAATGAGACTGCTAAAGTGCGAGAAACTGTAATTTCTTATCCGATCTAATCAAATGTTTATACTATTCCTCATGTCACTCTTTTCCATTTGTCGTGACGCATATAGACCAGAACGCAGACCTTTGCATAACGCATGATACATAAGAGAATCAACTGATCAAAGATCTCCATTTCATGAAAAGGAAGGACCGATTGATCAAATCTCTTATGTCTTATGTATCTGTGCTCCAATCTTGTATCCGTTTTTCGAGCGTAATCAAAAAAAAGGAAAGAGAAAAATTAACAAGAGAGATACTCTCTCAAACCCAAGACATAAACGGAGATTTTTTTTCATACTGTTGTGCCCCGAAGAGCACAAATATTAGCTTTCAATTTGAGTATAACAAGTCCAATATCTATGCCCGAAAACGCTCGCAATTCCGCTATGAAATGTGAAAAGGATATCACTCTTATAGAAATTTAATACTAATAATACTAGTATTGGCCAATTAATTACTTATTTTAAGAATTAAAAATATTGTTAACAGTAGTACTTTTAATATCGAAAATCAATGATTAATTAGTATTAGTATTACATTTTTATTATAATAAGGGCGATATCGGATGTTTCTTCGGTCAAGATGCTTATGTTAGGTTTTTAAAATAATATGGGGTGTGTTTAGAGGTGGGCGGTATTTGAAATACATGTATTTAAAATATGTATTTAATTTTAAATACAAAAATATGTATTTTATTATTCTCTGGATGCGTATTTGAATACAATTTTTTAAGTATTTTACCCACACCCTCTAGGTGTATTGGCGTGCATGCAGTGCGGGAGTAGACAAGTGACCGAATTCGCTATTTAGGCGGGACCGCGCACGCCGCGTTCCGTCACGCGGCGCAGCAGCGCGGCAGCGGCACAGCAGAGTTGGAGCAGAGTTGGAGCAGAGTATAGTCGGGTAGTGGGGCGGCGTGCCGCGAGAGGGTGTCGCGCGAGACTTGTAAGAGCGAGAGACAGGTCAGGGCTGGGGCTCAGTCAGTGCGCTCGCGTGCGGTGTGTCAGTTGTGCTGCATTCACCAATCCTCTTTTGCTGCCGCGCGCGCGCGCTGCACTCTCCTTCTTCTTTTTCCTTCTCCCTCTTCCTACCTCTTCCTCTCCCTCTCTTTCTCTCTCTCTCTCTCTCTCTCTCTCTACCGTGCCGCACCGCACCGGAGGAAGTCACGCGTTCTGCCGAGCGCGGCCGAGTTCCCGGGCGCCGCTGAACTGGAATCGGGACTGTCGGGAGTCCGTCCGACGGAGCGGAGCGGAGCGCAACGAGCGCGCGTTCGCGAGCGGCGGATTACGTCGTCGGTTAGGTGCACGCAGCACGGATAGTAACGCGACGGACGCGATGCTGACAGTACGCGCGCTTACATAATTATCCACCGTCATCGGTGCATTAGCACAGCGCGTAAAACGAAGCGAAAGAGAGAAGAAG